CATCTCCAGTGTATAAGAACTGGATGAGGGTCTGGAAACTAATGAAGGATGGTTTAACTGACCTGTAATAACTGCCTCATCTCCAGTGTATAAGAACTTGATGAGGGTCTGGAAACTAATGAAGGATGGACCAGTGATCTCAACAACAATGGACCCCTCCTCCCGGCTGCTAAACATCTTCTTCAGCACAGGGGACAGGAGGGACAGCAAGAACTTGTGGGACCTGACAGTTCCAAGCTCCTGGGAGTTCTCATCTATAATCTTGAATTCAACATCATGAAGGTTGGATGCAGAGTCAAGCAAATCTTGGAAATCAAAATCCTTGATATTAATCATTTTAGACTTCATACTTGCAGTTTAGGTCTTTAATATATCTGAAATTAAACATTATTAAAAATAATTAATCCGTCAACAATTCTTTGATAAAGTTAGTCTGAAAGGTACTGCTGTTGCTATTTTAATTGACCTTTTATCAGTTTACAGGGGAGCATGTCCAATTTACAACTGTACCCTCTTAACTTTATCTGGTCAATAATGTGGAAAATATTGTCAAATAAAAAGTGTTCCTTTCTACAAAAAATTTATGGAGGAGAAATTCGCACATTATTTAATAAAAAACCAGTTAATCTTGACACTTTTAACTTTGTGTACAAATGTGATAAAGGTTAACACTTTCTCAATGTTAGAAAAATGAAACCTTAACAAAAATTCCACATTTTATTTTTTTATATGCATTAACTTTGGACATAAGCCAACACAGAGGAACTCAGTGTAATTAATAAACTACTGTAATGAAGTTGTCAGTTATTTTAAATCATGAAAGTAGTTAAACTACCCTGACATCTTGATAAGCAATTAAGGTTAACCCATCAGGGTATGATCAACACAAGATTTAAAAACAGAATTAAATTAATCCGCAGGTCTGCTTAACATGGAGATCAATGTTTGATCCCGAGATTAACAACAAAATAATTCTGACTGGAGTTCAAATTATTCTGATGTAGATTAAATAAAATATGTTCAAGTTCTCTTCGTTTACAGATGAATCAAACATTTAGAAGAAATAAAGAAAGAAGAAATAAAGCTATAACCGATTTATTGGTTAACTCCATTAGTAATGACTACTATGTATCTGAAAATATTTCGGCAATGTTTCGTAATTAAATGCTTCTTGACTAATTTAATAAAAACTTAAAGGGACTGTAAGCGTAATATCAAGTGACCCTCCATGCAAAGAAGGCAATGTCCGATTTACAACGGTACCCTTGAAAGCTTTGTCTGATTATTTATGAACTAGATGTTTTTTTTCTGCTTTCAACTGGTTATTTTCATTTGCGGTTTCTCTGCGAAAGTGACTCGCAAATTCCTTGTTTATTTTAAGAAGCAACAAAGAAACTCACAAAAATACTTACTTTCCGTGTCAAGATAACGACGGTATTTACCTCATTTTTCACCAAATTAAAGTTTAAAGGGCACCTTTGTAAATCCGTCATTGCCATCTTTCAATTGAGTCATTTGAAATTACGCTCACAGTCCCTTTAAGTTAACTTTAATTCTGTTTTATACTAGTTTTGACTGAACTTGAATTATAATGGAACACATTGATATAATTTGATGCAGTACTGATTGATCTAATGTCATTTACACATAACAAAAGGACAGCATAGCATTTATATGGTGGTTGCAACATTTCTTTTATGGTTTATGTTTCGTTTAGAAAGCTCAAGTGTGTTTCCATATTAAATATTCGATAACTCGCATTTTAATTGCATACCTCCAGTAAGAGGAACTCTTTTAAAAATACTCCAATCTTGAGAAAAGTTCATTAAATAAAATTTTGCTCAATTGATCTAATTATAATTTTAGATAGGAATATTTCTAAATTAAGAATCCAAAACTAAACTTATAATTATACCTCCATTTTCGAGGGATGAATATTATTCCAGCCTGGAGAAATATTAATTACTAGGCTTTTAGGGCGCTTCGCGGCCATCTTCTATTTAAATTGTGAACATGTTCTTTTTGTTTACATTTTAAAACATAGAAGAAAAAAATTTGCGGATTTTTAAAAAAAATCGCATATTTTCAAGAATTTAATTTTTTTACAAAATTAAAAACAACGCATTTTTAAAATTTTTTATCATTCAGAAACCTTCCATGTGGTCACGTGATGTCCCACAAAAAATTTGGGCCCGATCGGTTCAGCCGTTTATTGGATACAAACAAACCAACAAACAAACAAACAAATATACAGACAGACAAGCCAAATTTATATATAGATATGAAATTAAGAAATTTTTGTAAAATTATAGATTCAATTGCAATTCCAGATTAGCCGTGGGATTTGGAATATTTCCTTATCAAAAATCATTACACGTGATGCATTCACTTAAAAAAAATGTCTAAATCGACATTTTTGGTAAAAAATTACTTTGTACAGAGCAACTCCTTTCACTTTAAATATTTACTTTACAATTTCAATACAAATAATTTTATGATAACATCAAAAAAGTTTTTTTTTACATATAAATTTTTGAATAACTTTGATCACAATTGTTCAGATTCAACCTTAAGAATACCAGGTTCACCTTCAATTATGTCGGGTTCAGCCTCAACAATATTAGTGTCATCATCAGGTTCACATTTCACAAGATCATTATCTAGATAATCAGGTTCAAATTTAACAAGATCAAGATCAAATGGGACAGCAAGAAGGGATGATTCTCTTCGCTTTGCCAGCTCATCCAATTTTTCTTTTTTTTCAAGGTCATACAACTCCTTGTGTTTTTTCCGCTTGTGCGATGATAAAGTTGAAGTGGTTGTTCCTGAGTAATCACAATGATCACAGAGATACCGTACACCAAGGTGAACACTCCGTATGTGGTTTGTTAGAGCTGACGATGTATTTGTTGAAAATACACATGCATGACAATGAAAATTCAGCTCTGTACAATGTTTTCTGTCCTTGTGCTCCTTTAAGTGATAGGTTGTGGTTGCAGCATAGTCACATTCATCACAGTTGTAACGGATTCCTAGATGCTGAATTGATTTATGACGCTTTAAATAGAAAGACCCAGTCGCTGTATATTCACACAAGTCACATGGGTACCTGACACCAAGATGTTTACTCCTTTCATGCCTCTTTAAATCAGAACTTGTGATTGCAGAGTAATCACACTGCTCACAAGGATACCTCACTCCTTCATGTCTATGCTCATGGTGTTTCTTCAAATCTCGTGCTCGTGTTGCTGCATAATCACATTCAGCACAGGGATATCTTACGCCTAAATGTTTGGAATCCTTGTGTGCCTTTAAATATGATGATCTTGTAGTAACATATTCACATTCATCACAAAAATAACTCTTCTTGGGCTTCCTTTGAGGAGTTACAGAACTAGAAGTCTCCATGCTGAAACATCAGGGTTTTAATATGTTTCTCTTGAAAAACAAAAACAAATATCTGATAGGAAGATTACCTATTGATAAAGCTCATTAGATTTCCAATACTTGGCAAGTACAGAATCAAATAGAACGCATTACAGCTTATTCATGATATTTCTGAAAAAATATAAATTTTAAGAATTGATCAAATCTAATGAATTTTTCAAAAGAAAAAAATATAACTTTGTTTGCAACAAGGTCAATCTTCTTTTATAGCCGGCAACATGGCATTTAAGAACTCTGGCTGACGCAGTGATGCTAAAATCTCATTCAGGTTTTCCTGAAATATAATCTTTGTTTTAAACCATCAAATGCTATTGTTTTTTTGTAACAAATACCTTAGAAAACAAAACAAGTTTTTCTTCTACTGAACTCCGCAAATCATCCTATAAATCAACTGTGATGATGCTCATGGTCATTAATTAATTTATTGAACACATTAAGTGTCATGGAGAATTAGATGATCAATGTCAAGATCACTGGTTGTTCCTTAATAGAGAAAACAGATGATGGAGAACACTGCTGAACATTCAGATATTCTGAACTATGTATATTCTCTAGGAACTCATCTCTAAATAGGAAACAATAAAGATTACAGATTCTCTAGGTAGATGAAGATGTATTCTACCTCAATATTAGTATAGCTGCTGGGTCAGCTAGAGAAGGGAAGAGAAACTGCACTAGTATACAGAGCTGGTCAACTGTCCCCCCACTAGGACCAAGTTTTAATAAAACTAAACAGAACAGTGCTGGATTTCTTGCAGACAAGAAAAAAAGAAAACAAAAGAAAATAAAGAAAAGAAGAATGAATTTAGAAGAAATTCAAAAGTAAATATAACCTAAACAGACCAACATATCTCTTGTGTAAGGTGGTGAAGGGGAACTACCAGGCTCCTAATATATGCATTAATTAATTGATTAATTGATTTAACAATATTACAAAATCTATAATACCTGTGATTGAACTCCAGAAAACCCTTGAATCAGGGCATCGAGGAATCTAAGAAAATTCAAATTATATTTAAAAATTCAAAAATAAATATAATGAAAAAGGTCAACTGACTGACTGATAATTGACTACCTGGGTTCAAGCATACTTCGCTTCTTCCTTAACGAACTAAATCTGCCAGAGTAATCTCCAATTCTAAATTTTATAACATTGATTACATTTACGACTGTTACAAAGTCTGCAAATGTGCCCATATCATTTCTAGAGATAAACTATAAGCTGGTTATGACCATGAAATAACATTACCTTTCTGGTTTTATCTCTGCACTTAAGATCTCATGGCTGACAGAGTGGCAGCTGAAAAATTTACAAATATACTTAATCTTATTTTTTTACGTAAAATAATTTTTATTTCTTGTAATTTTGCAGGATTACGCGTAAAAGGCGAAACTTCAAATTTTGCAAAATTTCGGTGTAATTTTTGCGAAATTTCTACAAAGTTTTGTAATGATTACATATTATTAGCGAAAATTCGATTTTGCGAAATTACAGCGTAATTTTGGGCAATTTCTACTGGGTAATTTCATGAAATTTTGTGATAAATACGCGAAAGTAGCAAAACTTAAATTACGCGAAATCACGGCGCAATTTCACGCAATTTCTACAAGGTTATTTTGTGAATTTTTTTAATAATTCACGTAATTTTCAAAACTTATATTTCGCTTAATTTCTACAAGGTAGTTTCGCAAAATGTGTAATAATTAGGCATTATTAGCAAAACTCCAATTTCGCAAAACTAAGTCATACTTTTGTGTAATTTCTACAATGTAATTTCATGAAATTTTGCAATAATTACGCCTTATTAGAGAAACTTAAATTAAAAGTATTTAAATTATCAGATTGGACATGGGTGTAGCGCGCATACCCTTACACATATTTCCCGCTATATTCATTTCTGAGAATTAATACGTACTTTACTAATTATGGAATGGTTTCGTATTACATAATTTTGCTTAATTACGTCATAAATATGCGAAACTAGACTATCTTTTGTGTACGCAATTAAAACGTAATTTTGTGTAATGCTCCCCCGTAAGTGAAAGAAAGTGTTTCGCGTTTACGCGTAATTACGTGTAACGTAATTACGACTGGAAACCCTATTGCTCACCTTTGAAGTTTCCCTGTTGTATGTTTTGTAACTAAATTCCAACATTCCTCTCTGTGTTCCCATTCATTCAAAAATGTATTTTTTCCTCAATATTTACGAACTAATGAATAAAAACATTTGATTTAAAATATCTACTGCATCTATGAAAGGGTTCCTGTTCGAGTTGAAGAATGGAAAATGTGTGCACAGGAACGCAATTACATCCTTCATGTATGCCCCTTTCTGAAAAAAAGGCATGACAAGGTTTGAATGGATGTCTGCTATAATTGCCCACAAAATATACCTTGTTTATATTTCTTATGGCTAGAGCTATAAGCAGACCAGTCTTCAGATGAGGGGGAGGATGCTCAAGGGGTTCAGGAAACCCTGAGATATCAACCATTCATTAAATCATCAAATGTAATTATTAATAAGCAATAATGATTAGCTAATATTATCAGAGGATGGTTTGTTTAACTTAATGACCTGAGTCCAGTTCTGCCTTGCCCTCGTCTAAACCAGTATCTGTAGCTTCAACAATAGTAGCTTGCACTGCACAAACTTTGCCAATAGTGTCTCTTTCTGCTTCATTTACCTCTGTAGCATCGATAGTTTCATCTCCTGTCATTTGTGCAGCACTCCGACACAAGTTCAACAACTTCTCTGGACTGTTATAGGAACTCAGATTCTTCTTAATCTTCTTTTCCAACATTTTATCAGTATTCATAGAAGATAAAAATTCTACAGTATGAAAGATATCACTTGCATCTGTGTATGGGGTGTCAATGTTTGATGAGAAAGAGGTTTCACTTGGGGCTGCAGATATTTCCTCTGGCACCAAATAAGGTAGATCAAACTCTTTTGCTTGGTCTCGATCTTGAATATGAATTGTGTGAGCCTGCTGTTGATCATGTTCTTCTACTTGTGTTTGACTTTGTGTATTGTCATGATCTTGATTTTCAGTTTGATCTTGATCTTGATTTTGATCTAAATACGGATCTTGAACATGGTTGTGATCTTGATATTGTAATTGAACCTGATCCCCTTGTTCTTGGTCTTGATCTCCTGCTTGTTCTTGCTCAACTACTTGACCATAATCTGTATTTACTTGGTCATTATTTTGATGCTGATTATGATTTTGACCTAGACTTGGTTCTTTGGTCAATTCCAAAGTATTTGTTTGGAAATATAAATTTTGACTGGTGGAAATATGAGAAATGGAGAGATTCACAGATGGCTGACTTGGAGTATTGGAAGACAACTGGCTTGATGACTCTGAACTGTATTGAGCTGGATATGACACTGCAGGATCTGATAAGATAGGAGTAAGTGGCAACAAATCATGTGGTTCTATTGGTTCAGGTGTTATAGTTCCAGGAATATGAGGCATTGGTGTTAAGGTTTCAATTATGGGTTCTTCTGTGTCTGCTTCATTAGGTTCAGGTGTTACACCACCAGGATTATTAGGTTTTGGACTTAGATCATCTATAGAAGGGTGTTCTTGTGTACCACAGTTGTTGGATTTGGGCGTCAAACCATTTTCATCATGTAATCTGGGTGCTGTAGATTCTGGTGTTCTAGCTTGAGGATCAGATTCAGAGACACAGCTATTTTCTTCTGCTGTTCTTAGGATTGCCTTCTCCCCTGCCAGATCTGGACTTGTTAACAGGTCACCAAGTGAAGATCTAGAGCGTCGAATACTCTTTCTGATGAGTGCAGTAAAACTCTCTCCACTTTTTCTTCTTTCTTTTCCAACAGTCATCTAGAAAATTAGAATCTTATCTAACAGACTACAATGAATCCACATTTGAGGTACAAAAAATATAGGACAATTTTTACTTCTCAATGATAATAGGATTAACCTGTCCTAGGGAGCTAAAATATAGGACAATTTTTACTTCTCAATGATAATAGGATTAACCTGTCCTAGGGAGCTAAAATATTCATCAGTCTGAATCCAGAGTTTCAGTTTGGCCAACTGAGCTTGCTGCCCATTCTTCTCAAGAACATGTTCATCATTATGATCAATGTCTCTTGACTCCTCCAACAGTTTAAAGTATTCTTGCAGGGATGTTCTGAACAACCAACATTTTTACAAAGGAAAATAGACCTGGAATTTGCAATGATAAGAACAATTGATAAAGACATCTAAAAAATTGGTTAATGTTGATTCCTATGTCGTCTGAGATGATTTTCAACCATGGCCCTCTCAGGTCTCACCTCCCTTCCACACCTTAATAAAAGGGCAATATCATTAAGTACAAGATTTTAATCTACTTCTTTCATTTAAAAATGTATAAGAGAAATGATTTTATTTAAAAGCTTAAAAATTAACTTGAAAACTAACTTGATGCAAATAAAGTGAGAATCTTGAGGTGGAAGGTATTGATGAATTGCAGAACTAGAGTTCAACTTGTCTTTAGATATCTTAGTTCTGAACACACACATAATTATTATTCATGTACAGCAGCTAAAACTATAATAATGATAATGATATAATGATAATGATAATGATAATGATAATGATAATGATAATGATAATGATAATGATAATATTAATAATAATAATAATAATAATAATAATAACTATCAACTACCAACCACTATGGTGGAGTATTTCAGTTATGTGTGTTCCTTTTAAGTTTAGGTTTAGCTGTTAGAGTTTTATTCTGGTGTGAGGAAAGGAGCTCATCAAAGCAGTCAAGTCCAACCAGTCTAGGGTCAATCTCTAGGTCAGGGGTTAACCTAGGTGGACATTGACAATATTAGATATAATTCTTATCATTTTCAACTCTATTTACCTATCTATGTTCTCTGGTGTGTCTTCTTCTTCCTCTTTACTTTCTGCCCATTTTCCTTAAAGAAATCCTTATGTTTAAAAAATGCCGATGCGTAGGATCCATTTAACTTAGATGTGGATCCGGATCCTGGATCTGCACTGGTAAAAATGGATCCGGATCCAGATCCTAAACATTTATTTAAGATTTACTGATTTTATTAACAGAAGAAGAATTTCCAATTATTGTTCTTTTTCTTTTCACTTATTTTAATTCAACATTGGATCCCTGGAACCCATAGATAAAGATAGATTGCGCATAAGACGACATTTTTCATCTTGAAAGATATAAATGTACAGAGATGTTTTAAAGATATTCCTATTATATAGATTAACTAGGTCGGTTGTGAACATTGGCTGTTCTTATGTCATTGAGTACTTGTGGTGTACATGAGTTCTGTAGAGAGAAATTTAAGTTAGTTTAGTCCTTCTCATGTCCTTCTTCAGTTCTCATCAATATGATGATTTGATAATTTGATATTCTCAAAATAAAATTCACTCCTGAGTGGATTAATAATTATGAAATCCATTAAAACACCAAACCACCCCGCTTATCATTGAAGTACACTTTGACCCCTAGAACTATGAGTTCGCGGACTGTACAATTCTTGGTGATTTTGCGTACATAAGCTATCTATCTTTATTTATTTATCTATGCTGGAACCACATATTTTTGAAATCCTGTCTAGATCATTTTATCTGTTAAAAGTAGCATAACTCTTCAGTTCACCTGTGTACAAAGTTGCAAAAGAAAATTTCTCAACTCTCTCAATAAGATCCAGAGCTAGAGCCTCCTTTGCCATTTTCTGATAAATAAATACAGGGTAAGTCAAAAAACTGGTGCAAAATTGTAACTTTTTTGTGCAACTTTCCTGTATGGTGTACTTTCATTATTTTTTGAAAATTTGTAACTTTTTTTGGTACTCCTCCAAACAAACATCCGCGAACCTTTTTCTCTCTCAAAATCAAAAGTTCAGAAAAGCAAAAATGTATACATAAAATTTCTATCGAAATCTAAAATTTTTTAAAGATTGAATTACAGAATCACAGAAAATTCGCAAAATTGTAATAAGAAAATTCGCAATTTTTAGTTCTGGTCTAATTTTTAAGGAAAGGTAATTTAAATTGTCTAGTTCCTTTCTTCTTAGTTAATTCTTAAGTATTAAATATACGGTGTTCATTTGAAACCTTAAGAACCATTAAAAAACTATTTTTCCGTAAAAATTATGCCAGAACTGAAAATTGCGTATTTTCTTTCTAAAATTTTGAAAATTTTCTGAGATTCTGTAATTCAATCTTTTAAAAATTTTAGATTTCGATAAAAACAATTTATTTACACATTTTTGTTTTCTAAACTTTTGATTTTGAGAGAAAAAAAAGGTTCGCGGATTTTTTTTGGGTCATTGAAGTACCAAAAAAATTAAAATTTATCAAAAAATATTGAAAAAACACTATACAGGAGAGTTGCACAAAAAAGGTACAATTTTGCTACAGGCGCAGCAAATCACACTTATTTGACTCACCCTGTATATTTTTTTGATTATTTATTATTTAGTTATTTAACTTTAATATGAAGTAGATACAAACTGGAAAATTGTAAATAATAAGAGGTAATTGAACTAGACATTGTTGGTTGAAATACTTCTCTTTGGCCTTTGTTTAATTATATTTATGAGCTCTGGAATATACCTTTGCTAAATTATATCTATGGGCTCTGGAATATACCTTTGCTAAATTATATCTATGGGCTCTGGAATATACCTTTGCTAAATTATATCTTTGTCTGACAGTCTCCTTCTTGAAAGCTGGTCGCCTCGGAGGATGGTTTACATCAGTCAGTTTACAAATATCCTCTCTATACACCCAACTACGCGACACATTCTGTCCCTGAATAAGATATTCTAAAGTGTACTGCAGTTTCAGGGGGGGGGGGCTTACCTTGTCAAAGAAAACAACATGATACTGCTGAGGTTGGTTGGTTTCAGGATCCAACAACAGGGTTTCCTCTTTCTCAGGACAATAGTCAACCAAACCAGGCCACCAAGGAAACCCTGTATCATGAGTATGATCATTGTCCTTCATAATGTTTAAAACTCTGTTAAGATCGAGAATGAAACTGAATATGTGATATTGAAGTAATTTAAGTTATGATACCTATATACGACTGTAGGATTAGATTGTAGCAATATTTCTATAAAGATAAGATAAAAACATGTTTTCTAGAATTCTCAAAATATTTACCTCTAAATTTAGCCCAGACTAGTGAACCCAGGGCGTACTCTACATCCACTAGATCTTCATCGTCACTCACCCCCTCCACCTCACTAGGTACACTGCAACTAGCCAATCCCAGGTCCTGAACACATACTAAATCATACCACTAGGTGGCAATAGACCATTTTCGTGGTTCTTCCGAGTTCCATAATCAAAAATTGTGGCAAATCGGTCAAACAGAGATTGCTACTTTTTATGTTTAGAAACTACCTTATTCATGGAACACACCCAGTTATCTGGCACTGTAGATGGATCCTTAAAAAAAGAATTACATTAAATAATTTTCTTAATAACAAAATTAATAACTTTAACCTTTTATAATTGGTTTAAATTAAAATCTTGATCTCAACTTACCTGGACATCTTTTATAAGTCTCCATTTGTTACATGAAGGCTCTGTACACTGTACATACGTTCCCTGTAGAGTAATAAATATATATAATATATTTATTTATATATAGTACATTGTACTTGACAGTGTATATTTTACTAACACTTTGTACAATAACCCCGCGTTCTCCCTACATTGTACATAACTATCTGAACAATTTAAATATATAAGCTGACCTTCTCCAGATTACACCTGAACTCGTTTTCCTGAAGTTGGCGGATTTTCTGAACAATTCTTTTATGCTCAATCTCGTCTTCTCTTAAAGAAAATATAACTTTGAACACATAACATTCACCCTGAAAGAACAGGGTCTTCTAGGGTAATACATTTGGACATTGTACAGTTTATGATTGTGGTTTAGTCCTTTAGGTTGCAAGGACGCTAAGTAATTGTTTAATAAAAAATAACAAATTAAAGTTTTAAAAGAAGAACTTTGTTCTAATCATATTTTAGACATATGTACTTGTTTATCAAAGATAACAATAGCCTTCATTTTATCTTTTTAATCTTACCTTGCATAGGCATCTTCATATTGAACAGTTTTTGTACATTTAGCAACCTTCTCTTCCACCTCATCATCAAGAAACTAGACAACAACAACAAATTTAAATTGTCTTAAGAGAATTTTTAAACTTCTTACCTGCTCTGTATTTGGATGAAGTTTTTTTCTAAGTGGTACAGCTGGTTTCAGAACTATCAGCTGTTTCCGGGTGGGCTGTCCGCCTGAGGAGCCGCTCTGTTCTTCATGTCGTTCTCCCGGATTTACTTCAGCCCGACTTTTTTTGGCAGATTTTCCAGGATCGGAACTACTTTTACGTTTCAGCAAACTTTTTGGGGATTTTCCTCCCCGCCGAGGTTTTAGGAGGACATCAAAATTGTTTTTAGGTACAGGAGGGTAGTGCAGATTAAACAGAGCCTTAAAAATGAACATGTTACCTTCATTAATTGTGCCTGTCTAACTGGATTACAATGGATTGTATACTAACCTGTCTAACTGATTCACTGTAGATCATATACTAACCTGTCTAATTGGATTACTGTAGACCATATACTGACCTGTCTAACTGGATTACTGTAGATCATATACTGACCTGTCTAACTGGATTACTGTAGATCATATGATTAAACTTCAAATGAGAGTCAAGACAGGAATCCAGGGTCTCCTGTTCGCACAGCTGACAGACAATAGTCTAAAATATGATGAAAAATAAAACATGAGGATTGGAAAACATGTTTGATTAATAAGATAAATCAAATTAAAATTTCAAGTTAAAAAAGTCGGAAATTTAAATTAACTAGGCGCTTCGGGCTCAGCTTCTCTTTAAATTGTGAACTTTATCTCTTTGAATACATTGTGAAACAAAACCAAAAAAAAGTTTATATAAAAAAATTCGCGGATTTTCAAATTTAATGAAAATCCATTTTTGTTGCAAGGGAAATTTTTGTAATTTTGATCGTTCATTTATCTTCCCTGGGGTCACGTGAGGTCCCACACAAACTTTGGGCCAGATCCGTTTAGACGTTTATTAAACACAAGCAGACAGACAGAGAGACAAACAGACAAGCAAAGTATATATATAGATTTCAACTTCGCTTCCGAAATAGAAAATCTTTTTCATAAGTTAAAATTATAAGTAAATATCCTGTGAGTCTGTCTGCCTGTCTATCTTTCTATCTTCTTACATAACTAAATATAAAAATTACCACATCTTTTTTAGGAGACATGTTATAGCTCTGGCGGGATCATTATTATCTGAAAATACAAGATTACTTAATTTAGATAAAACTCTTTACCCAGCTGAAAACTGACTAGAATACATTTAAGGATCTAGAATAATATTTTTTCAAAGATTAACCAAGACGGGTGTTTAACCAAAAACTGTTTAAGAGTGAAGATTGCTTTAAAAGCACAAAATCAATTTTTCAACTTTTACAAACTCGGAAATTAATAATCGAACTGTCTACTCCGAAAAGTGTTAAAGTAAGCAAGAATTGTTTGATAAAATTTAAAATTTAAAATGATTTATTACTTAAAAATGGACATGACCAGTTCATTTACATCTTTGTCAGAGCAATAAATGAGAGATATCCGAATTGTTCTATCAAAAAATTGATAAAATTACGTCTACAGCCCATTACAGTATTAGTTAACATGTATTCTAAAAGCTCGAGGTCTATTTATGACAGGAAACTATTTATCAACAGTTTTAACATCTTTTGATAAGAATTATGGACACGTATATAAAGGACACCATGTTGTTTAACCCAAGTTTAGATGAAATAGTCCAGTAAAATAGAAAATCTGCCACACCAATTATACCTAAAGAAACATATTATTTTAAAATTTAAATTGAAAAAAAAACCATTTTATATCAAAAACAAACATTTTTATCTTTTGTAAACTAGTTGTATTTTTACATATTTGCTAAGATGGGACAGCAAGAAAACAAGGTAAAGTTTGTTGAAAAAAATCTTTTTCGGTACATAACAATCACATAACAATACGGTACACAAGTATAACTAAAAACTATGTACATTGTACATAGCAAAAAGGGATCAGCTGATAACTCTTAACAAACTCAAACTATTACAAAGTTTACTGCTAGCTAGTTTAAAAAGTACAATACTGCATTTTATCATGTGCAGTGTACATTGTACAATACATAAAATTTACAATCAGAATTTTTTAAATACAAATTGTTAAAAACAAAAAAATCAACTTTATTTGGTTAATGGTTTGGCCATTTTGGAAAAATACTCAACACTTTTCTCTTCATAACAAAATCTCAACAAAGCTTAAGTCCATGCCAAGGTTACAGCACCGGCAGTTTTTCTACATATTTAGCTATATCCCAATGTATTTTTTGTTCCCTTACCCCCCCCCCCAGGGTACCCTAAAAAAGACCAAGTTGGGATCTATTTGTATCAGTGCTTAGGATCTATTGGATCCGTAAGATTTTGGCTTCCTGGACCCGATCCGGATCCTCAAAAATATGCGGATCCACGGATCCGGATCCAAGGGGTAAAATAACAACCAAAAACTGCAATAAAAAACTTTTTTACTCATAAACCCCAAATTTGAACTTTTGAAAAAAGAGAGATTATAAAATTTTCCTCATTTCTGAATGGTTCGTTTCAGGATAAAAACAAGCGAAAAAAGTTAAACATAAAAATTGAAAATTATTTTTTGTTAAAAAATTCAGTTAATTTTAAAGAAATGACCTGGATCCGGATCCAGATCCTTTTTATCCATTGCGGATCCAGATCCGGATCCGCATCAAAATTAAATGGATCTCATTTGTATGATGCAGACCAGAATGAAGTGACAAATACAAATTCAGGATTTCTGTTTAGATCTGAACACATTTTCCATCTGATATATTCTTTTAGAATATACACGTAGAGTTTACATGGCTCAGTTACATTTGCCATAACTGCGCTTGCCATAATAGTTTAGACATAAGTAACACTAGCCATAATTGTAACACTTGCCATAAGTTACACTTGCCATAATGGTTACAGATGCCATAAATACACAACATTACTTTTGTCATAATTTTTTAATTTTCAAAAAGATATACATCTGTCTTTTTTGTTGTAAATGCGGGTAATTTTCCCATGAAAATTCCCAACTTTAGTTTTCTCATTGTTTTAAAGCAGAACAATTTATGTAAGTTAAGTTCCATATTTTTTTTAATGAAGGATCCTTTGGTGACTTTTGAGACCACAAGTAAGGATAAACCAATGGTTCGGGATAGAAACAACTACAAGTGAAATATTGGAAATGTTCGGTTAAAATGTGCTCAGCTAGAATGCGAACCCGTATTTCTTCCTCAAACCTGATTGTAACTGATCTAGCCGAGCATCTTCAAATATAGCTCAAAAAAATATTTCTCTGAATTTATCATTGTCCAAAAAGATTAAATCCATTGAAATGTTTGAAACATTTTAAAAATTCAAAATTGAATTGTCATTTACTGCTATTTTGCTAAAGTAAGCTTTAATCTATCTTTTTTTTAAGTCGTCAACCCCCCCGGCAAAATCCAATCGGCCGGCCCCCCCCTCCCCCTTCAAAAATCCTTCAAAAAATATACTTTTCCTAAAAACAAGTATTTTTTTCGCTTTTTCTTGATCTAACTCAATTTTTCAAATGATAAAAAATATTTTTTCTTAAGCTAATGTAGACTTTACCTCAGTGTACGTGTTTATTTGTAAAATGTATGTTAGACGGTAAAAGTGGTCCAATCTCAAATATTTTTTCTCCTGAATTTGTATGACTTTGTATCACTTCATTCCGGTCTGCATTATACAAATATCCCAACTTGGTCTTTTTCGGGGTACCCTACCCAACATTTTCTTTAATGATTTACAATTACATCAAGGACTTTCTAGGAAGTGTAAAATTATTCTTAATTCATTTTCCTTGAAAAAAAGTAATTTTGCACGAAAAATGATTTTTTTTAGGAAACAAGTACAAAAGAGGTTAAACAGTGAAAACATTTTAAAAATTAGGAAAATTGTACCAATCTCGATTTTAAGAAAAAAATTGAGAAAACAACGTTGATATTCCTAAAAAAACTAACCTGAGGTGAAAACTTTAGAATGGATAAACTTTAATCCTGACTTCTTGATCCGAATATCCACTGTGGAAACTTTTCATTTTAGTCCTTAATCCACTCTTTTTCTCTCTCCTTGGATATCCATAAATTGTTTTCCCCAATGAGAGGGCAGGAAAAGTTCGTAAACTATATTGACCAATGACAGCCATGAAAATAAATTCTATCCAATGAGAGAACTCCGGAATTTCTTAAAAATAAATAATTTTTTTTTCGGCCATTGTGAAAACTTTTCAGACTTTCAGTGAATAAAAATATGTAATAATACGTTTGTGATTCTGTTTCAACTAATTTTAATCAATGTTAATAAATAAATGGGTGAGCAAACTTTAATTAAAATTATGTAAGCGTCTTTTCAAGAATATTTCCGTTCTCTCATTGGTTGCCCGCTTTTCTATGATTGGCTGTTACAGTTTCTCAAATGATTAAAAATTTTATCGTTTTTCATACACTTTTAACATAATCTTGCAAGATTATGTTAATCTTGAGATTATCAAAAAGAGAGGATCAAGCATTAATCCAGATATCCACCATTCTAAAGTTCCCAGCTCTGTAAATATTTATAATCTAATAAAACTGAGTGTGTTTTTTTTATTCATGAATTTTTAAATTTGTCCCGATTCTATTTCTTCTTCTTCCTCTCTTTGGAATCCATCTTTAGTTCTTTATTTTTCAAATCCTTGGCTGGCCCCGTCTTGACCTTGTTGCTATGGGTGGGTTTGAGCTGACAGTACGCGGATTCCTGGAGTCCGGTGTCGGAGATTTCAACGGCAATCTGACGAGGAAACCAGCCTCGCACCCTCCCCTAGGACAAACAGAGTTAATTCAGATTTTTTAAAAACTTTAAATTTAATAAAGGATTTAAATATTCTAATCACCACATGATAAGATTTTATAATTTTAAATTTAAAATAGAGGGTGGCCAAAACTTTTTTTGAACACATCCGTACAAAAATCCGTACATTTTCAGAAGAAATCCGTACAATCCGTACAATTTTAGGGTTAAAAAAAATCAATCCGTACAATCCGTACATTTTGGCCACCCTGAAAATAGTACTCGAACGTGCATTTTTTTCAACCAAACACAAAGAAAATTCAGATTTCAATTTAAAACTATAAAATACATATTTTATTTACCTCTCCCTTGGATACAATTTTATCTCCGTACAACCAGTGCTTTTTCCATCTAAACAATAATAAGATTTATCATTATTAATTATCATTATTAATTAAAATATTAATTATTTCTCAAAATCTCAATGATCAAGAGTTAATATATTTTTAATTATCACAACCGTGATTTATAAACATTAACACACAAATTAAACAAGTTAAACCAATTAAGACCAATCATTCAATGAAACAGAATACTTTTTAATGATCTGGTGGAAACATAACTAAAATTGGGCAGCAAAGGGAATTATTTAAATTCTTTATCCCTTTTCCCTAAATATCATTTATTTTCCCCATTTCAGAGAATAAACCCCTTAAAAAAATATACCTAACTTCTGGGGCAAAAATGATTTTCTAAAGAGGAGGGGGGGGATTTTTCAAGAAAATATACACCCCCGGGAACAGGGGTTGAGGCTAGTAGCCACCAACATATATCAAGAAGTCTGAACATTTGTATATCGAGATCAATGCTTGATCTCGATCTTTTATTAATCTATAGATTGATTTAATCTTTCTGCGATAAATTCCGTGGAGAGCAGCAACACGAAGAGCCAATCAGAAGCCAAGGACGTTAGCGGTCAACCAATACCAAGACTATCCGATTCATAACCGTACCTATTTGTCTGGTCAAGCATGAACAAGATGTCTCAATTGTGGAATTTGATTATCTTTAATTGTGGGTTCTCTATAGAGAGAGACATTTGAAGATGGAAAACATCGATATCCTCTTCATTGTTTCTCAGATAGAAGAAGAAAGAAGACCGTGGAGAATTAAACATTATTTGGAGTGTTAAAAGTACGTCTTAGACATCTTTATACTAAAACAAGACATTCGTATTTATGTTTCCTATGAACGGGCTGACATTTTTTGAGGGAACCCATAAGTACCCTGGGGGAGACAAAGGCTAATTTTTAAAAAAAATCGATTTTCAAAAATCCAGCTAGTTGCCATTAAATAACTACAATTTTTCCACTATTCAATATCATGTTTAGAAAGAAAAATATATTTTTGAAGAGAAGAAGAAGCAAAAAAGTTAAAAACAATAATTCAACTTTCTTTCTTTATGCACTTATTGAGGGCGCTTCACGCCTTTTAACGAGTCGACAAGGTCGACAGCAGTATATTGTTCAGTACAGTAGGATCAAATGCACAGAGATTGACACGCACAACAGCTTATTGTAAGAACCTGATTCCTAACAGATCTAGCACTGATATGAGACATAATTTTTTCTCCAATAGAGTTATTAATACATGGAATGGACAACCAACAGAAGTAAAGGAAGCTAGGACGCTGAACTAAGTAAGTAATTCAATTGTATTTGTATAAAAATAACCCTTTACCTTGTGACCTTGACCTTGTCCCCTCTCTGGAGCTTGATCCTTGGCTCATCAGTGCAGGGGGGTCGACAACACACAGAGAACCCCTACATTCAATCAATCCATAAACTGATAGTCAATCCATCATTTGATCAATTAATCACTAAACAATCGATCAATCAATCAATTACCATTTCAGTTTATCAACCGATCAATCAAACTTAGTAAATCGCATATAAATTCTTTGTATTACATTGATCAATCCATATCAATCCATATCAATCCATATCAATCAATCAATCAATCAATAAAACATAGCAATCAACATTTTAACTACAATATCAAAAACCTTTCACTTAATCACCTAACTAATCCATAAAACTCAATGAAAAATACGTTACAGACAACCAGTCAATGATTCAAACAATATCTACATGTTAAACAGTTAATTAATCATTTAATCAATTAATCAATAAGTTAATCAGCTAATCAGTTGATCAGTTATTTTGTTAATAGTTAGTCACTTAATCAGTTTATCAGTTTATCAGCTAAGAAGTCAATTAATTAACCAGTTAACTAGTTAACAAGTTAACCAGTTAATCAGTGAATCAGTTAATCATTTATTCAGCTAATCAGTCAACCAGTTCCGTCAATCAATCATTGAATCAATCAATTAATTAATCAATGTATCAATCTACATATCAATCGATCATTCAATCAATCAATCGGCCAATCAACCAATCACACAAGGAGATAACTTAACCATTCAATCAATCAGTTAATCATTAGTCAATGAATCAATTAATTAATCGACCAACCAATCATTAAATCAATTAATCAATCAATCAATCAATCCGTCCATCATACCATCATACGAACATATAAACATATCACCATTTCAACATATTAATTACCATTTGACTTTATCAACTAAAAAAACCATCAAAATCAATCAAACTATCAGTCAATAAATCAACCAATGTCTACCTGTAAATTAACCAATCGACCAATATCTACTTATTAATATGTCAATCAACCAATATCTACTTATTAATTTATCAATCAACCAATATCTACCTGCATTATAGGAAACCATGACCCGGAATAATTGTTAAATATTTCATATTCTCGAGATCTATCTTTCTTCTCAGCTTTCTGGAACAGTTGCTCTCTACATAGATATATATGAATAAATATATATATATATATATATGATTAAAATACAATTTTTTTCCTCCATTTTATCTATTTAGATAGAAAGATACGATATATAGATAGAAATACAGATAAAAAGAAAGATAGATAGACAAGTATATAGACTGACATACAGACAGATAGATAGATAGATCGATAGATAGATATTTATCATTAAAGTACATAATTTTACGTAGATATATAGATATAGATATATTCTTTAAACTAACACTAACAGGATTTGCCAAGCCAACATTGGCTGTCTTTAATGGCAAACCCGGATGTTATTGTATGATATAATTTTTAAACCATACATTTGGAGGTGTTAATATTAGGTAAGTATATAGTGCTCTTTACAGAACAATATGTAAGTATGTAGTGTTCTCTATAGATCAATATTAGGTAACTATATAGTGTTCTTTACAGAACAATATGTAAGTATATAGTGTTCTCTATAGATCAATATTAGGTAAGTATATAGTGGTTTCTACAGAGCAATATGTAAGTATATAGTGTTCTCTATAGATCAATACTAGGTAAGTATATAGTGCTCTTTACAGAGCAATAGGGAAGTATATAGTGTTCTCTATAGATCAATATTAGGTTAGCAATAGGTAAGTAAATAGTGTTCTCTTTAGATCAATATTAGGTAAGTATATATTGCTCTTTACAGAGCAATAGGTAAGTATATAGTGTTCTCTATAGATCAATATTAGGTAAGTATATAGTGTTCTTTACAGAACAATATGTAAGTATATAGTTCTCTATAGATCAATATTAGGTAAGTATATAGTGCTCTTTACAGAGCAATATGTAAGTATATAGTGTTCTCTATAGATCAATATTAGGTAAGTATATAGTTGTTGACTTTAAAAGTCACTATAGTAAAATAAAGAGATCATATTTCTAACATTTATTTAAAAAAACGAAAGTTTTGAAATATTTTCCCAAGACTGGGTTAAAATTGGTTGGTTTAGAAATTAACAAAGGAATTAATGATGAATATTTGTGGGTACTTCATGGGAGTGATGTAGAGCTTCATGTTGGTGGAGCAAATCAACAGGAACTGGAACAACAGGGCTTATCCAACCTAGTAGGCAGAGATCGTGGCTTTATCATGCTGGATTAGAGCGATTATGTTGTCTCTGGAAGCGGAATGCATGATAAACTGGGAACCCTTCGGGTAAGCACATCTGCTGCTAGCTGAGTATCTGCGTCATCATCATAAAGGAGTCAAGAGGCTCCCTGTGTCGGAACTGTTACTAGCTCAACTCTCCTAACCTGACTGAGGGCTGGGATGTGTAGAGGGGTGAGGGGGGGACGAAGGAGCGAGGGTGACATGTGGGCGCTTCATGGCGGAAATGGATACACACGTCTTGAGAATAGTCGACGGCATTTGAGTCAGTAAAATCGTCTTCCTTATATTTCGAATTTGTGTTAACAATAGTGCTCTTTACAGAGCAATAGGGAAGTAAATAGTGTTCTATAGAGAACAGTAGGTAATTACATAGTGGTCTCTACAGAACAATAAATGTATATTAATGTTGTAAATAAATATATTTTTTTTTCATTTCTAATGTGATTTACTTTATGAAGTTGATTTAGTTTCAGTTTTTTTTGCCAACTTTTTTTTTACAATTTTTATTGTAGCATTTATAAATATTTTTTTACATTTTTAAAATTTTTTTTTGTATTTTACGTAAAATATGCGTTATTAAAACGTTTCTTAGAAACCAGGCAATGGCTTAGAACCGTTCCAGAAACGTTTTATTAGGTATAAGTTACAGTTAGTTATACAGTTATACAGTTATACAGTTAGTTATAAGTGCAGAAACGTTTCCTAGAAATGTTTCAGAAAAGGTTTCTGGAACATAACCTTTCCAAACAAAACGTTTCTGAAACGGTTCTAAACCGTTGCCTGGTAGATTTGTCTTCTAAAACTGCCTTAATTAGCGTGCCAAAATAAAGAAGTGATTAGAAACGGTTTACAAAATATGGTGAAGATATGTGAACAATTTGCAAACTTATTTTCAATGAAATTTAGTACTAACAATGTAGTTGAAAAGTCTAAGACTAAGTGTATAATCTTTACAAAATATCCAATCGATACTGTAAACATTTTGCCCATTTATCTTAATGATGTACCATTACCATATGTTGATCATGTAAAACATCTTGGATGCACGCTACAAACAGATAATTCATTTACTCGTGATATAAATCAGAAACGTGGACAGTTTATTGCTAAAATTCATTCCCTGAATCAAGAATTTTACTTTGCAGATTCGACAGTTTTGATTAAATTATATAACCTTTATGCAACGAGTTTATATGGATCCAATTTATGGAATTTATTTTCGAATGATGTGTTCAGAATTTATTCGTCTTGGAACACTGCAGTTAGAATTGTGTTTAAATTACCAAACACTTGTCATAGATATTTTATCGAACCATTGTCACAGTCATCTCATTTAATGACCATGCTCTGCAGTAGATTTGTTTCATTCATTTCTTCATTAGAAAATTCGTCAAAAATTTGTATCAGACTTTTGATAAATCNGGAAGAAAAGAAAGAAAGAAAGAAAGAAAGAAAGAAAAAAGAAAGAAAAAAAGAAAGAAAGAAAGAAAAAAAGAAAGAAAGAAAGAAAGAAAGAAAAAAAGAAAGAAAGAAAGAAAGAAAGAAAAAAAGAAAAAAAGAAAGAAAGAAAAAAAGAAAGAAAGAAAGAAAGAAAGAAAAAAAGAAAGAAAGAGAGAAAGAAAAAAAAGAAAGAAAGAAAGAAAGAAAAAAAGGAAAAAAGAAGGAAAGAAGGAAAAATAGAAACGATGAATAAAAGGAAAACAGAAATGAGAAAGTAAGCAGTTCATAAGTGAAAAAACTATATGAGAAATAATGGAAGGAAAAAGAAACTGTTAAATACGCAAAATTTTGGCTTCATGGATTCATTTCCGGATCCGTAAACATTTCCGGATCCGTAAACATATCCGGATCCGCAAACATATCCGGATCCGCAAACATTTCCGGATCCGCAAACATATGGGGATCCAAGGAGAGAAATATCAACAAAAACTGTAAAAAAAAAATTTTGCTTCTCATGAACCAAAACTTAACTGCTAAAAAAAGAGATTATAAAAATGTTCCTTAAATTTATGAATGGTTGATTAAGAGTTTTAGCATAAGAATAAGCGAGAAAAAGAAGAAAAAAATATTTTAAATTCTTCTTTTGTTAAAAAAAAAATCAGTAAATCTCTTAAAAAAATGTTCATAACCTGGATCCGCATCCATTTTTTTTAGAGTGAATTCAGGATCCAGAGCCGGATCCGCATCAAAATTAATTAGAAAACATTACTTTACCTTTGGTGTACAGGTGAAGGTAAGAACCTGCTTCATATTCTCTACTCTACCCAGATTATACGGATAAACAAACTTCACATCTAAATATGCACAAATAATATTATTAATAACAATCTACCATCGGACCAAATATTATAAAGATTATTATTATCACTAGATTCAGAGCCCTTTTAAAAGTTAACCAACTTAATTAGTAATTTTGAAAAAATTTGCAAAAATCAAGTGCATTTTCAGGTCTAAGTAAAACTATAAACATAACTGTAGTTTCAAGACTTAATTCCTTTTTTTCTCGTTTTTTTTGCGATATTCTATTAACGAAAATGGCAGGGTCACAAAATTTTGTGATTTTTTAAAACAGTCCTAAGACATAAGTCAACAAAACATCAAAGCCCTCGGTCAACTGCCTGAGTGCCTAGGTACTGCCGGAAAAATTATATTTGAGGAGAAATCAGATAAAATCACAACGATTAGTCTTTTTTTTAGAAAGTATCTAAGCAGTTGATTTTTTGTTACAACATGTCATCTAACTGTGGGTTTAGACAAAGTTACAATATTTGGGGACTCAAATTATTACAGTTTAATAAATATAGCAAAAAACAATAAAAATGATTAAATCCTTGAAACTTCAGTCAAGTTTGACTTTAAACTTGATAATGCACATGATTTTTATGATTTCTTAAAAATAGATCTTCACAAAAAGGGCTCCGGATGGATTTCTAATTTTTTGTTTCATATCTTATTTTCCTCTTCCAAAGCTACCTCAGTTGACAGAACTATTCAATAAAAACCTTTACATGCATTGTTTTTAGTCTCCGTTTGTTAAGTATTCAAGATATTTATTAACCCTGTTAAAACCTGAACTACATGAATTATCCCTTAAAGAGAGAGACCAGCTAGAGATGGTAGTGCGCGCAGGATTGTAGATAAATTTTTTAGGATTTATTTAAGACCTATGAGACGTTATTACAGTGCATGTTTGTTCAGCAAGAGCGGAAATTCAATCTTTAGAATCTTCCTGGATTATCAATTCTTATTGTTCGCAGATTTCTTCAAATTCCTGAAATCTCGTCTTTTTAATAAAAACTCCGGGAAATCTACCGAAAATGTTTGTGAAGATCAAACATTACAGAAACCGATAACTGAATAAAATTACTTCAGGAATATTAAAAGAAAAATCTGTAGGTTGGAGAACCCGGACCGCCGCGCAGTCGGGGTGATTTGGATACCGTTGTAAATCTGTGCATGGAGTGTTACTTGAAATTATGCTTTTCAGTCCCTTTAAGGGGTTATTATTTATCCTAACTCCCTCTTCGTTAAAATACACTGACGTTTTTTTTAAATTTAGCTTCAAGGGTAAAGTATCAAAACAATTTCGAGAACGCTGGAAAATTCACGTCTCATACTCCCCCTAATCCGTATGGCGTATAATCTACCCCCTATAAAAAATAATAATTATTTCTCAATTTTATTTTCCTTTAGATATTTTAGATATCCCATCTGCAAAATCAGTTTTTTAAACCCATAAAACACGGCGAAATAAATGTATGGAATATTTAAAGGTAATAACTAATCAATCATATATCAATCATTAATTTATAAAACCAATAATCAATCAATCAATCAATCAATCAATCAATCAATCAATGACCTGAGCTGAAANGAAAGGACAAACGAACAAACAGAGATTACAACTATATATATATATATAGATATTCCTACCAAGCAGGGAAGCTAGCAAAGTCCAAAGTGTGAGAATAACTCTTGGTTCTTTCCCTGTCCCATAGTAATCATACCAATTCCTTCATAAAATAGAATTTCAAATGGAAAATTTACAATCAGCATGTAAAAACAAAAACATGAAAAAGAGGGGAAATATTTGTTTCCCATTTTAAATTCTATTTTACAACTCCTAATTGAGATATTTATCATTTGACCAAAAATAATTTCATATTGGCAGAAAGTGCAAAAAATATGTCAAATGTGGGGAAATAATAAGTTTCCGGTTTCTTGAAAATCAAGTTGGTGTTCTTTATCTGTCCCTACCGTGTCTTGGAAGCAGACGTTTTTTGTGAGAAAGCTTAAAAGAAAAGGTGCAAAAAGTTTGAAAAAACAGGGGTCATGGATATTTTTATAAAAATTATCACTTCTCCTCATTTCAAAATCATTTTTTTGTTTACCAGATAATGTGTGCGGAGAGCGGAGCGGAGAGCAGTTAAGGTTTGTAATAGGATAAAGTGCTATCAAAAGTGTAAGAAAACTTTAGATTGTACTATAATCAAATACAAATGATGCCCATGTGCAAAATTTAANACATCTGAATAGAAAATACAACATCTGAATAGAAAATACAACATCTGAATAGAAAATACAACATCTGAATAGAAAATACAACATCTGAATAGAAAATACAACATCTGAATAGACCGAAAAAGAATTTTGTCAAATAAAAACAGACTTTGAAGGGCATTCTATTCTCACATTCCGATTCTGATCCCAAAATAAATTTACAAACAGATATGTCAATAACGGGGATAAAGAACTATATTAAGTCATGATTGAAAACAGGCCACATATTAATAGTTTATTCTCGCTTTGTGAGTTTTTAGTTTAATAGTATTAAGATTAGACTCTACTATTAGAACATTTAGTTCAAGAAATCTCAAAGCTTGAACCTGCTACTAGTCTAAATGTCAGCCTAGTCTTGAGAAAAATTTTATCATTAAAAAGACTGTAAGCATGGTGACGCTTAGACTCTTTTAGACTAATTTTATTTTTTTAAAACGCAACCGTAGAATATTACATTTTTCTATTTATCTAACAGGCCGATTTTCTTGAGATAACACTTTCTACTGGACAGACGAGCTGACGAGCATTAGGAAATGGACAACATTTGCCAATATAATAATATATTGGTTTTCTACGCCATTGTATATTAGTTTAAAGGAACAGTGAACGTTATGTCAAGTAATCCTCCTCTTAAAGAAACCTTTAAAACCATTATCTGAGCAAATATATGAAAGATATCGATGTTTTTCTAGTTTAAAAAGTGCTTTATTCTAACCTAATCTAAACAGAGGGTCGACATTTAAATTTACGTCTTCAGTCCCTTTATTTCAAGGAATTTAATAAGATTAGTTGTACTGTCCTTTTAAGGAGGATTTTATAAGAAGAAATTTAATAAGATTAGTTGTACAGTCCCTTTAAGGAAGATTTTATTACAAAGAATTTAATAAGATTAGTTGCACAGTCCCTTTAAAGTACTACCTGCCACATTTTCTGCAGTGATGAGCCCTAGGTGCCTTATATCCTTGGCAGAGTTCACAATATTGAAGCTGGTTTAGGTCATCCTCTGAATAGATAGATAGATAGCTAAGTATATACTATATATATATTTTCCAACTAAATGTGTTCTGAAAAGTTTTTAAAATTTATTAAACCTCATCGATTGATAAAAATATCAATTAATCAATACATCAATTCTTAAAAACGTTTAAAGAAATGGAACAATCAATAAATTAACCAAGCAAACAGTCAATCAATCAACAAAACAATCAATCAATCAACAAAACAACCAAGCAACCAGTCAACCAATAAGTTTACAAATATCTGTAACCTGAAGCCTGGTGAGGTGCCCAGCCCGGGGGTAAATACCCCGGACCATCAAACATCGCCATAAAGAAATGATAAAAGGTGAGACCAGAAAACACTAATAAATATCAAGGGTAAATATTATTTTGAAACAATCCCCCCCTCCACCCACTCTCCACTAGCTTAAATTCCCCCATTCTCTCCACCTAGCTTAAATTTCCCCACCCTCCACACCTAGCTTAAATCCAAGAAATCCTACCTGGAAAGATGTAAAGGGTATCCTACCTATAAAGATATAAAGGATATCCTACCTAGAAAGATATAAAGGATATCCTACCTAGAAAGATATAAAGGGTTTCCTACCTGGAAAGATATAAAGGATATCCTACCTAGAAAGATATAAAGGGTATCCTAGCTAGAAAGATATAAAGGGTAGCCTATCTAGGAAGATATAAAGGGTAGCTTACCAAGAAAGATAAGATATAAAGGGTAGCCTACCAAGAAAGATATAAGGGGTATCCTACCTAGAAAGATATAAAGAGTATCCTACCAAGAAAGATATAAAGGGTAGCCTAACAAGAAAGATATAAAGGGTAGCCTACCAAGAAAAATATTAAGGGTAGCCTACCAAGAAAAATATAAAGGGTAGCCTACCAAGAAAGATATAAAGAGTATCCTACCTAGAAAGATATAAAGGGTATCCTACCTAGAAAAATATAAAGGGTAGCCTATCAAGAAAGATATAAAATATCCTACCTAGAAAAACTGCTGTGTACATGAAACCAGGAATACTATCTGCAGGGGGAAACCACATAGTGTTGCAGTATAACGTCGCTAAAATATAATTTTGCAATAAATTAGCAAAAAGAATTTTCCAAAGAATTTCCTTTATGACAGAAAATGGCAGAAAACTTTTTGTAATTCCCAAGATTATAATAAACTCTCCATTTCAAGGTTTACCTAAACTAATCCATTTAATGATAGTTAGGGCCGTTAATGGACCCCAATGTAAAAGTCTACAATACATTTTAACTCCTCTGAAATATAAATCAACGATTAAAACACAAACAATTAATTTAAAAATATACATATAGTTTATAATAATTATAAGCAATTAAGATGTGTTATATTTAATCACGAAAAGCTTTCAGAAACTGAGAAATTTGAAAAGGTAAAAATCGATGTTTTTGTATTCAAGAATTGTCAGCGGCAATTGCGAAAACCTTTCTTTTGCGAGGAAGGGAAACTTTCGTGTTATTTTTTTCAATTTCTGTAATAAATAAATTTTTATTGATCTGAAATTGTATTTTAAAAACAGCGTATTTTTTTCCGACAAATTTTAATCACAGTCAAAGTTTAATTAAATATTTATTCAGAAAGTTCATTTTATCCTTCCCTTTTTATTTTTTAAAGACATTTTTGATCGTTTGTTTTATTTTCCGACCCTTTAACAATAGAGCCATGAAATCAATACTACGCGGCAATTCTGACAATATTGCGCAACCCGGCCAAAGAGTGAATATCATTTTTTTATATTTTGATTAAGTTATGATGTTTCGGGCATTCTTGTCGTTTCAATTAAACGTTAGGTTAAAAAAAAGAGTGAGAGGGGGGGTCGGGTCTGTCCTAGTGAACGATTTTTGGACGCCTCCCCTCCTGTCAATTTTGTACATGACCATTCATTTAAGGCTAGGAGGCCGGGCGCTGCGGCCACTCCCGTATGAACTACTGTTCATTTGAACTAATGTTCGTTTGAACTACTGCACGTGGTACCACGTGAAAAGTTGAAATGAACAATAGTTCAAACGAGTTTATTTAATGCTCATTTGAACTATTTTCAGTTCAATTTGAATTATTGTTTATTTGAACTATAATATTATATATGAAATAAACAAAAAATTAGTTCAAATGAACTTAAAAATAGTTCAAATGGATCTATAAAAATAGTTGAAATTAACAAAACAATAGTTCAAATGGACATAAAAATAGTTAAAATGAACATAAAAAATAGTTTAAATGGGCAAAAAAAATATAGTTAAAATGGACAAAAAATTGTTCAAAGGAACAAAAAAATAGTTGTAATGGACAAAAAAATAGTTCAAATGGACATAAAAATAGTTCAAATGGACATAAAAATAGTTAAAATGAACATAAAAAATAGTTTAAATGGGCAAAAAAAATATAGTTAAAAGGAACAAAAAATAGTTCAAAGGAACAAAAAAATAGTTGTAATGGACAAAAAAATAGTTCAAATGGACATAAAAATAGTTCAAATGAACATTAAAATAGTTCAAATGAACATAAAATAGTTCAAATGAACATAAAATTAGTTCAAATGGATATAAAAATAGTTCAAATGGACATAAAAATATTTCAAATAGACATAAAAATAGTTCAAATGGACAAAAAAAATAGTTCAAAATGGACATAAAAATAGTTGGAATGAACATAAAAATAGTTGAAATGAACATAAAAATAGAACCTATCAATTTTGTACATGAGCATTTTTTTATTTTTCAGCAAATTAGTATTGGTCATGTGACCGCAGCGCTCGGCCCCTGAGCCTGTGCTAGCTGCAGCGCTCAGCACAGGCATGTGGCCGCAGCGCTCGGCCCCCTAGCATGTCCTAGCCGCAGCGCTCGGCCCAAAAATGAGCTTAACCTAACCTAACCCTAAATATACACTAATTTTATTAAAAATTATTGAATTATAGTCTTTCCTGGCCGCAGCGCTCGGCCCCCTAGCCCGTCCTAGCCGCAGTGCTCGGCCCTGAAATGAGCTTAACCTAACCTAACCTTAAAGTTATAATAAATAAATATTAATAAAGATGAAGAAAAAATGGTCATGTACAAAATTGATAGGAGGGGGGGGGGGTCCAAAAATCGTTCTCTAGGACAGACCCTTTTTTATTTAACCAGTTTTTTTGTAATGTTTTCTTTTGAACTATTTTTTTTCTCATTTGAACTAATTTTTTTTTCATTTGAACTATTTTTTGTTCATTTGAACTATTTTTTTGTTCATTTATACTATTTTTATGTACATTTGAACTATTTTTTATGTTCATTTGAACTAATTTTATGTTCATTTGAACTTTTTTTTGTTAATTTGAACTATTTTATCTAATTAATTGTAACTTCATAATTATAAATATATTTAAAAACTCAATTAGTAGAAACATAGTTCAGATGAGCAAGTAATGTGTTGATTTGAACTACAGGATATGACGTCATATCAGTAGTTCAAATGAACAATAGTTCAAACGAACAATAGTGCAAACGGGAGTAGTTCAAATGAGAATCCACCGAGGAGTGGGGGGGGGTCCAAAAATCGTTCTCTAGGAGATTACATATAATTTCTTAAAATCTCCCCTCACGTGCTCTTATTGGTAAATTCCTAGAAACGCTTTTGTACCTCCCCTCACCCACAGCAGTACGCTATTACTTTTTTTCTTCTCCCCTCCACCCAGACCCTCCATCCTTGTATTCTTATTTTCTCCTAGCAAACTTATCTTTCCTTTGCTTTATTGTAACGAATTTATTATTTTCTAATTTGGATTTAAAACAGTCCTTATCGGCGAGATAGGTCCGGTTTAAGGAATTGTTAATGAGTTAATAACAGTTTAAAAAAAATTGTTATTATATCCCCTTAGCCTTTTCTAGCCGCAGCGCTCGGCCTAGAAATCTTCTTTATCTAACATAACCCTGAAATAATACTAAATAAATACCCCCCGCCCCATCTTCTAGATAGCTTACTCTATTAACTTAGACCAAATCAGTTTGTTAATTATTTTTTTCTTTGTCAGGTTTAACTTTTCACATCTGTCTATTTTTTCTAAGTTATCATGTGTATATTTTTCTTGTCTGACTCTAGTTTCCTATACTTTCTGTATTTTTTTGGGAAAAAATTTGAGAAGTTTGGAGAGTTAAAATCGTTTTTTTTCAGCCTATCTAGTTTCTAGAACTGCTAAACTCTAGATTGATAAATATCTATCTATGTATATTCTAGAACTGCTAAACTCTGGATAAATATCTATCTATCTATATTCTAGAACTGCTTAACTCTAGATAAATATCTATCTATATTCTAGAACTCCTAAACTCTAGATAAATATCTATCTATCTATACTCTAGAACTGCTAGACTCTGGATTAATATCTATCTATCTATATTCTAGAACTCCTTAACTCTAGATAAATATCTATCTGTCTTCATTCTAGATATGCTAAACTCAAGATACATATCTAGCTATCTATATTCTAGAACTACTAAATTCTAGATATATATCTATCTATCTATCTATCTGTATTCTAGAACTGCTAAACTCAAGATAAATATCTATCTATCTATATTCTAGAACTACTAAATTCTAGATAAATATCTATCTAGCTATCTATCTATATTCTAGAACTCTTAAACTCTAGATAAATATCTATCTATCTATATTCTAGAACTACTAAACTCTAGATAAATATCTATCTTTCTTTATTCTATAACTACTAAACTCTAGATAAATATCTATCTATCTATATTCTAGAACTACTAAGCTCTAGATAAATATCTATCTATCTATATTCTATAACTACTAAGCTCTAGATAAATATCTATCTATCTATATTCTAGAACTACCAAACTCTAGATAAATATCTATCTTTCTTTATTCTATAATTACTAAACTCGAGATAAATATCTATCTATCTATATTCTAGAACTACTCAGCTCTAGATAAATATCTATCTATCTTTATTCTAGAACTACTAAACTCTAGATAAATATCTATCTATCTTTATTCTAGAACTACTAAGCTCTAGATAAATATCTATCTATCTTTATTCTAGAACTGCTAAACTCTGGATTCCCATGGATGATAATGTGTACAGTCTTAAGAAGACTTTTAAAGTAAGTTTTCCTCAAATTAGTTTTTCTGAATTGATTAATAATATTTTACATTGGTTTTTACTTCATAGTTCTAATTTATTTAAAGTTCACAAAGTAGCAATCTTTGATTGTTTGTCTGGTTTTTGTCTGTTAGATCATAACTTAGGAACCCCTTGACTGAACTGCCTCACATTTTAATTGGGGAACTTGGTAAACTTGGTGGGTTGTCTTTTACAGAGAAAGTTTTGTTTGCATCTAATGTTTCATCTTGATCATGGTTTGAGAATAAAACGAATGGATGATTTTTTATTATTGATAAATTATTAAAACATTGATTGCTTGATTTATGGATCCATTGTGGAAATTCGTCGATTGATTTTTTGAATGATTGGTTGGTTGGTTGGTTGGTTGGTTGGTTGGTTGGTTGGTTGGTTGGTTGGTTGGTTNTGGTAGGTAAATATATCCTTTATTCTTACAGGGTGGTAGGTAAATATATCCTTTATTCTTACAGGGTGGTAGGTAAATATATCCTTTATTCTTACAGGATGGCATGTAAATATATTCTCACAGGGTGTCGGGTTAATATATTCTTTATTCTTAATTTCGAATTTTCGAAATCCTAATTGCTTTAACCGGATTTGTATGGAGCATAATAATTTGAACAGCTTAGAGAAAAAAATTAATCTTTATAATTAATTTTAGAAGGTAAAATTAATCTTTATAATTAATTTTAGAAGGTAAAATTAATCTTTATAATTAATTTTAGAAGGTAAAATTTGTTTTAAAAAGAAAACAATTTATTTAGAAAATTACCAAATAAAAAAGAAAAATCTTCACACATGCTTATTGCCAATATCAGTATCTATGATCCAGATTTATCCTAGATGAACCACTGTCCCAACCATATTTAATTCTTGTGAAAACTATATGTTATAATTTTATAAACATACTTCAGAATTCTTACTAGAATACAATGCTAGTTCAATAGAAAGATTTTTTAAAAATTTCCTCCATGGAATGTGTATTCTAGGACGGAGGCATCCGGGGCTATCTCCCAGATGTCGAGGAACCACTCTTCCTCCTGGAGGGGCATACGGAGACCATCACCAGTCTCTTCGCAACCAAGTTTGGGACGCTTATCTCAGGTATAGAAATAATTCCCCCTATGGCATATAGGTTTACATCTAAAAGTTTATTTATCAGTATCAGTGTCCGTGTCCTGGGGGAGGAGGGTGGGGAAAAAATTATTTTTGATGATTTGGGGATAAAGATTAGAAATTGGACACCAAAACGTAACTTTTTCATTCTTATTTACTACTTTCCCACAAATTTGCATTGGTTTCCCCCCAATTCAGCATATAAAACCCCCCTAAAAAAAATTCGCTCCGCGTGAAAATATGAAATGATTTTCTAAATGGGGGGGGTGGGGGAAGAAAAAATAATTTGAGAAAAAATACACCCCGGTGTCGGTAGATCGGGAAGATTGGGCGGGAGGTAGATCCGTAGATCCGTAGTTTCGTAATCTCTCCTAAATTTATTTTAGGTTCCTGGGATAAAACAGCCAGGGTTTGGTTCAACAGGAAGTGTACAATGACATTAACAGGTAATCTTTACTTTGACTGTTGTTGTGATTGTTGTTTTGTACAGTGTGTACTGTACAATACTCTCTTAAATTGCCGACAATACTCTCTTAAATTTCCGACAATACTCTCTTAAATTGCCGACAATACTCTCTTAAATTGTCGACAATACTCTCTTAAATTACCGACAATACTCTCTTAAATCACCGACAATACTCTCTTAAATTGCCGACAATACTCTCTTAAATTGCTGGCTAAATTCACTATACAGAAAACTCTTAGAACTCTAAATGCCAAAAATACTATCCCAATTTTTGTCTAGAAGATCCGAAAAATTATTACAAATGAATATTTAGTTCATGATATGGCAGTATTGTGTGTACTGTAGGATCCCTAGACCTGGAGTTGGGATTTTACAATTATATCTTCCTGAATATTGTCTTAGTCATGATATGGCAGTATGGTGTGTAGGATCTCTACCTGGAGTAGGGATTATATATTCCTAAATAATGTTTAGGTCATGATATGGCAGTATGGTGTGTAGGATCCCTAGACCTGGAGTAGGGATTATACAATTATCCCTAGACCTGGTGTAGGGATTATATAATCCTGAATAATGTTTAGGTCATGATATGGCAGTATGGTGTGTAGGATCCCTAGACCAGGGAGTAGGGATTATATAATCCTGAATAATGTTTCATGATATGGCAGTATGGTGTGTTGGATCCCTAGACCTTGAGTAGGGATTATATAATCCTGAATATTGTTTAGGTCATGAAATGGCAGTATGGTGTGTAGGATCTCTACCTGGAGTAGGGATTATATAATCCTGAATAATGTTTAGGTCATGATATGGAAGTATGGTGTGTATGATCTCTACCTGGAGTAGGGATTTTATAATCCTGAATAATGTTTAGGTCATGATATGGAAGTATGGTGTGTTAAATCCCTAGACCTGGAGTAGGGATTATATATTCCTGAATAATGTTTAGGTCATGATATGGAAGTATGGTGTGTAGGATCTCTACATGGAGTAGGGATCATATAATCCTTAATAATGTTTAGGTCATGATATGGCAGTATGGTGTATAGGATCCCTAGACCTGGAGTAGGGATTATATATTCCTGAATAATGTTTAGGTCATGATATGGAAGTATGGTGTGTAGGATCTCTACCTGGAGTAGGGATCATATAATCCTGAATAATGTTTAGGTCATGATATGGAAGTATGATGTGTTGAATCCCTAGACCTGGAGTAGGGATTATATATTCCTGAGTAATGTTTAGGTTATGATATGGCAGTATGGTGTGTAGGATCCCTAGACCTGGAGTAGGGATTATATAATCCTGAATATTGTTTAGGTCATGATATGGCAGTCTGGTGTGTAGGATCTCTACCTGGAGTAGGGATTATATAATCTTGAATAATGTTTAGGTCATGATATGGCAGTATGGTGTGTAGGATCTCTACCTGGAGTAGGGATCATGATAACAGGAAGTGCTGACCGAACTCTCAGGATTTGGAAAACTGGTAAGATATCATCTTATACATTGAGCTTTTCTGTTTGTCTGTTATTGTTTGTTGGTTTGTTTGTATCTATTAAACGGCCAGTCAAAATTGAAACATTTTCCCTAGAAAAATGTTAATTTTAAGTTTTGGAAATCCACCAAAGAAAACAGGAAAGTCTGCGAAAATAATTTTTACGATGCATGAAGAAAACATCGCTGCTTAAAAGGCAAATTTTAAAAGCTTCTAGAAAATGGAACGCGAAGCGCAGTTTCAGAGTCTTGTATCATTTAGGGAAGTGCCAAGGGATACTGAAGGGGCATACTGATGCAGTGCGTGGAATCTGCATCATATCTCCTGATGCATTTCTCTCCTGTTCTAATGATGCAACTATCAGAAGGTGGAGTGTGGCAGGTATGTTGTCTAAAAATATTTGGATTCTGATTATTTTGAATATTTGGGTTGAATTTAATTTTATCGATTCAATAGTATTGTTTTTTTTTTATTTCTTGTTAATACTGATTTACTGTACTATATAGGGGAGTGTACTGGAACCTACTATGGACATGAGAACTATATCTACAGTATCAGTTTAATTAACTGTACTATATAGGGGAGTGTACTGGAACTTACTATGGACATAGGAATTATATCTACAATATCAGTTTAATTAACTGTACTATATAGGAGAGTGTACTGGAACCTACTATGGACATGAGAACTATATCTACAATATCAGTTTAATTAACTGTACTATATAAGGGAGTGTACTGGAACCTACTATGGACGTGATAACTATATCTACAGTATTAGTTTAATTAACTGTACTATATAGGGGAGTGTACTGGAACCTACTATGGACATGAGAACTATATCTACAGTATCAGTTTAATGCCAAACGGAGTGGATTGGGTCTCTTCGGGAGAGGACAGGTTAAACTTTGCGCTGCGCTGCGATTAGAGCAAAATGACAGAAATTTGTCATTTTGTAAATAAGTGCTTGGATTCAGGACCTAATAACCCAAGTAGGAAATATCAACCATAATATGCAGACAATATTTGATTTTGTCACAAATTCGTATAGACCAATGAGATAGCCGTTAAACTTTTTTTATCGTTCAATGGTCTGCCAAAACTTCGATAATGTTATTTAATAGTTGTTTTGTCGCCGATTTTTATTTTAAATTGACGATATATATTGAATCTTAAAGTAAATTTAACATTTTCCCAGTTTGGTTAAAGCACTTTGTAACCAAGTTTTAAAGAAAAACTCAAACGTTTTTTTTGACTTCCAACATTGAAGTTCTAATCCTAAAGAATTGGTGGTTTTAGATATCATAAGAAATTAGAGTTTAAGACAAGTATACAGGGCCTTTTTAGTTTTGTTTCAGATCCCATTTGTTTAAAAATTGGGGATTTTTTTGTTCATGTTTTTATTTTACCACGTGTCAAGTGTCACCTTGCGAGTTCAATATTTACAATCAAAATCTAAATTTAATTTTGTTTTACATTTCTAATTTGGGTCACAGAGAATGTTTCATCGTTGGATAACACAGTTCCCCCACAAATTTCATAATTGTAAAACAATGAATATCCTCTTTTTTGGATGAAAGGAAATGCGGGAAAAATAAAGCCAGTGTTTCTAAAACTTTTATTGTATAAAGATGTGCGTCTTATATCTTTCTGTATTATTAAAAAAACATTATAAATTTTTTGGTTAATTTTTACAAGAATATATTCTAGATCTATCATAAAGCAAATCTTAGAAAACGGAAATGATTTATATATTCCTAGAGTAAAATCAATTAAAATTGGACTGCTAGGAGAATAAACTAATTATATCTAGATCTATTCGTGTCTGGGAGAATAAACTAATTATATCTAGATCTATCTGTAGCTGGGAGAATAAACTAATTATATCTAGATCTATCTGTAGCTGGGAGAATAAACTAATTATACCTAGATCTATTCGTGTCTGGGAGAATAACAGTATAGTACAAACTCTGTACCTACCTGCCCTGAGTGCGTGGTCTGTATGTGTGCTGGAGAGTGGAGATATTGTTGTAGGATCTAGTGATTCGACGATTAGAATATTTTCTAAAGATCCAGCCAGGTATATTTATATTTTGTCACAAATGGAATAATGGGACTGTAAGCGTAATTTGCTAAATGCAACGATATCCTTTAAACCGTTATTTGTTCATCGAGTACAGAGAGCTCCAAGTGTAAATCTCTCAAATAAATCTTGAATTGCTGTAAAACTTGGTGTAAGCTGCGTACAGTTTGAACTTCACATAGCTGATCTGTTACTTGTGTCCCTTGAAAATATCGAATATTTTACGCAAAAGGCGGTTTTCAAAATTTTGAAAGTAAAAGTTTATTTCTGCCACTTCTAGAATGAACACGCTTACCTGGGAGAAGGTCTCTGCAGTAAAGGGAAGATAGGAAGAGTAGGGATAGGACAGCGGGCACCACCAAAACACCTAGAACTAGATCATGGGTTAGGGGGGTAGACCCAGAAGTAGGTTGCATATAAGGTTTGTTAGTACGAGTATGGAAACAGAGATAAGAGTACAATCTGAGTACAGAGAGAGGGAGTGAGTTGGAGGGAAAAGGTAGGGTATAGTACAAAGGAAAAACTGTAGTGAGAAAGGAATAGAGTAGTAAATAGGTAGTCTAAACCGCAAGTAGGTGTATGACATAGTTGAAAGCAAAGCAAAAGGGTGGTGGGTGGGTTTGAAGTAAACGTATATGTAGACGGTAAACGTAGATAAATTGATAAATTGATAAATTGATAAATTGATAAATTGATGAATAAGTTGATGAATAAGTTGATACATTGATACATTGATACATTGATATATTGATACATTGATACATTGATAAATTGATAAATTGATAAATTGATAAATTGATAAATTGATAAATTGATAAATTGATAAATTTATAAATTGATAAATTGATAAATTGATAAATTGATAAATTGATAAATTGATAAATTGATAAATTGATAAATTGATGAATTGATGAATTGATGAATTGATGAATTGATGAATTGATGAATTGATGAATTGATGAATTGATGAATTGATGAATTGATTGATGAACTGAAAATGTATCAATGAACCCGATAGCGACTCAGAGCAGCCTGGCAAGGACTTTTTAGAACAGGTCCCCCTGGGAGAGGTTACCACTCAAATTGCAGAATCTGTAAAGGAACTGTTGATACCTGCAATACAAGATTCATTTCCTATAGAAAGGATTGAGGATCGAATCGAGGAGTTAGCTAGATTGGCAGAAGGCTCTAGTCACAGCCATGCAATTACCAATCAAAAGCTGGGAAAGCTTTCTGAATCACCTAATGCTGTTAAAGTGGAGCTTCAGGCTGCTTCTGCCGCTAGGATTAGGGTTGAAGAGAAGCTAGATAGGCTACTTGCAACCGAGGAGAGGAGGTTTAATCACACAGATCAAGGTGCTGATACCCCTCCTCCTGCTCCTAGGATTTCACCTTGCTACTTCTGTGATAGTCCAAATCACAAGCTTGCGGGGTGTCCTGTTAGAACACGCTGCAAGGGCTGTGGAGGTGATATGCACCCGTATGATAAATGTGATCACGTTTCAAAGACGTGTGAAAGATGCGGTTTAGTGGGTCATAGTATCAGAGTTCACTCCACTAACAATGTTGAACTTCGTGAGCTGCTTATCAAGGAACATCCACAGGAATTCAAGCATTTCCTGGTGCCTGAGGCCATGCCTGCTCCACGTAACAGACCCTCCAGAGGTCTTAGGGTGGGACTCTATAGAGGATTCAGAGATCAAGAGTCTCCAAGTTCCAGAGGTTATGAGGCTCACCAGGGAGGTCGTGGCCAAGACCATGGTGAAGTTGATCAGGGAAACAGAACGCGTGGACGTGGGAGTTTCGGAAAGGGTAGAGGTTTCATCCGTGGTAAATAGCACCCATTCCGATATGAATAAGCTTTAAATATTGGGTAGGCTCTGTAGTTGAGCATAACCCGGGTGATAGAAACTTATTTAAGTGCATTTAACCCTGGTTTTATATAAACGCATATTTATTTATAAATTAATGTAATTCCGGTGTAGGCAACATATAAAAAATTACGTAAAATTATGTTATTCGTATTTATCAATTTTTCTATTTCGCATTTTCGGTTCCAAAGTCTCGTATAGTCAGATTTTTATCAATCTTGTTATCTAGTTTTGAGACTGTTTTATTGCATTTGTATTTTATTAATCAATTTTCTATTACGCATTTTCGGTTCCTCAGTCTTGTATAGTCAGATTTCTATGAATCTTGTTATCTGGTTTTGAGACCGTTTTATTACAGTTGTAATTCTGTTTTTCATCTTAATTGTGGATCCTAATTTTCTAATGCAGCTTTTTTGGTTTTACGTATCCGATAACCTGTTCGGTGTTTAATAATAGTTTTTGTACACAATTATACTCAATAAATTATAATCTATTTTTATTATCCAGTAATTAGTTTGGGTTTTCTGAAGCGAAATATTAACAGTTTTTGCAATTATACACAATATTTTATAATCTTTTTTTCCTAGTAATTAATTTGGTTTTTTTCTGCAGCGGTTTACTTAAAATTACACAACTTAGTTAAGTAAAGTATTTTATGTTGAAAAGAATACCTGTTCATACTCCCAGCCTTATTCACTTAAACATGTTAATTTGTAGATTGGTTGACTAGCCAAAAGTTGCTGTTATATTGTTCTTGTGTTCGCTTTCCTTGTGTCAGGTTGTTCACAGGTTCATTATGGTTATTTGTAAATTGGTTGACTTGTCAAGTGTTTACTTGGTTCTGGTCTACTTCTTCTTGTGTTCATTTGTCCTTGTGTCTAGTTGGTCATAAGTTCATTTATGTTAGTTATAGATTGGTTGATGTGTCAAGTGTTCACTTGGTTTTGGTTCTGGTTTAATTCTTGTGTTCATTGGTCCTTGTGTCAAGTTGGTCATAAGTTCATTTATGTTAATTATAGATTGGTTGATGTGTCAAGTGTTTAATTGGTTTTGGTTCTGGTTTAATTCTTGTGTTCATTGGTCCTTGTGTCAAGTTGATTATAAGTTTATTTCTGTTCGGTAGTTCGGTTAACTTGTCAAATTGACAAGTCAAGTGTTTACTTAGGTGATGATCATTTGTTCTTGTGTTCATGTGTCCTTGTGTCAAGTCGTTCATAGGTTCGTTAATGTTAATTTGCAGATTGGTTGACGTGTCAAAAGTTTAATTTGTTCTGGTTCACTTCTTCTTGTGTTCATTTGTCCTTGTGTCAAGTTATTCATTTGTCCTTGTGTCAAGTTATTCATTTGTCCTTGTGTCAAGTGGTTAATAAGTTCAATTAGGTTAATTATAGATTGGTTCTGAGTCAATTCTTCTTGTGCTCATTTGTCATGGTGTCAAGTTGTTAATAAGTTCAATTATGTTAATTATAGATTGGTTGTCTTGTCAATTTTTTTTACTTGGTTCTGATTCAATTCTTCTTGTGTTCATTTGTCATTGTGTCAAGTTGTTAATAAGTTCAATTATGTTAATTATAGATTGGTTGTCAGGTCTTTTTTTTTACTTGGTTCTGATTCAATTCTTCTTGTGTTCATTTGTCATTGTGTCAAGTTGTTCATAAGTTCAATTATGTTAGTTATAGATTGGTTGACTTGTCAAAAGTTTACTTGGTTTTGGTTCAATTCTTCTTGTGTTCATTTGTCATTGTGTCAAGTTGTTAATAAGTTCAATTATGTTAATTATAGATTGGTTGTCTTGTCTTTTTTTACTTGGTTCTGATTCAATTCATCTTGTGTTCATTTGTCTTTGTGTCAAGTTGTTCATAAGTTCATTATGTTAATTAATAATTTGGTTGACTTGTCATGTGTTTACTTGTTTACTGATCTCTTGTTGGCGTGTTTGCTTGTTCCATTTTTATGTGTTCACTTGGTCAATTGGCTATGTTTATGGTTATGTGTTTAATTGGTTTTCTTTTTTCTTTTCACTTGTTCATGTGAATCTGTGTTTGGGTGCTCATTTGTTTGTGTGTTAGTGTGTTATTGGGACATTTGTTAATAATTTCATAATCATTAGGTTAAGTAATCAATCTTTTACGCAATAAATTAAGATTTTTTTTAACCGTGTATAATCTATGTACTTAATTTCAGAAACGAAATTATCTGATCCTTCCAGGGCACTTTCTTGATACGTATAATGGGTAAAGCCAGGAATAAACAAAGGGCAGGCATTAATTTGAATAAACCCAGCCAAATGGAGGTAAACCAATGCTTAAGAGTTGTACATTGGAATGCTAATGGCATCATGCAAGATACTAAAATCGAACTTCTGGCAGAAGTTACGATTTCTGAGCGAATAGATTTATGTTTCATAGATGAAACTCTCTTACAACATGGTAATAATGATAATTTATCGTGCCTCAAAAATTTTACTACCTACACCAAAGAACGGTCTTTTGGTAGTAAAAAAGGAGGAGGAAAAATGACAATAATAAGACCTGACCTAAACCATACAAGATGGGATCCAGGGCTAGCTATGTTTCCCAATCTTGAAGCGGAAAGATCATGGATTCTAGTTCATGAGAACGGGAAGCAAATAGCCTTTTGTTCAGTATATTGTGCGGCAGAAGTACATAATGAACAATTTAAGGTATGGAATAATGAGCTGTATATGATGATTAAATATGAAATGGAAACGATTAAAAGCGAGGGTTTTGATTGCATTATTTTAGGCGACCTAAATGGTCATGTAGGAAACGATGACAGAGGTATTGATGGAAATAGCCCTGATATAAACTATAATGGAAAACTACTCAGAGATTTCATTGATAGTAATGATTTAATAATGATTAATGCTGATAAAACCAAGTGTTCAGGATTATTCACAAGGACAAATAGCAACTCTGCGACGTGTATTGATTATGTGTTAGCAGACTCTAACTCAGAGGATCTAATCATGCAAATGACAATAGACTCTAATAAAGAAGTGCTCTGGGGCAGTGACCATTCTTCAGTACTGATAGAATTGAACATGGGAATTATACTGGATCAGGGCTATATCACCCCCGAACCAAAGGTTCCAAACCCATCAAAGAAGTCAGCAGCAAGTTATGCATCAACACTTGACAGACTATTGTCAGAGCTTTCTGATCCTGGTATGGATCTAGAAGAAAGATGCAAACTATTCCAGGAATCTGCAATAAAAGCAGCTCAACTAACTGGACATAATGTGCACTTAAATAAGGCTAGGTCTTTTGCTACATGCAAATCAGTCAGAAAACTTCGTACAAGATGTATTAAACTCGAATCCAGCATAACAAGAAGATTACATTGGACTAAGGCTAACAACCTAGACCCTAATTCCCATTTTCCAAACTGGCAGTCAGATAAGAATGAAGCTGAGGAGCTCAGAATACGGTTTAGGGATAAGGTTAGGCAAAAAAAGGCAGATAAAAGACTAAAATGTCGTTTGACTACCAAGGTAAATTCCAAGCAGTTCTGGGCCTTAGTACGGAGAGCAGAAAGGAAAAGAGGGAGCTTATCAGCAATAAGAGATGTGAATGGTAATATAATAACAAATAGAGAGCTTGTAGAACAAATTGTTTTGGAACAATTAGCCCTAATCTTCTCGGGAAAGAGCTCCCCAATATTCTCACACAGAAATGAACAGATCATTAAAGAATCACAGGTCAAGTCAGAGTACAATTGGAGAGACTGGATAATCCCTGAAAACGATGAGGACATGTTTGAGGCTGAAGTGTGTGCACCAGTTTTAGAATCACTCGTACGTGAGGTCATTAATGGACTAAAGAACGAACGGGCCCCTGGTGTCGACAGCATAACCTCATCAATGCTTAAGTTGGCAGGCCCAGGAGCAGTAACATTTATTACTTCCTTAGTCAATGACATCCTTAGTGAAGGTAAGGTACCAGAATCTCTTCTGGCAGGGAAAATGACTTTGATTGACAAGAAAAAACCCTCCCTGCTCGTGATAGGTAAAAGACCTCTTACGGTCTCCAGCGTGCTACTCAATCTGATTACAAAGATAGTTCACGCCAGAATGGATCCAATCTGTGAAAGAGAGGGTTTCTATGGCCCAGTGCAGTTTGGATTCAGGAAAGGGAGATCTACTTCAGATTGCGTGTTCACCTTGCTGGCAGCTATTAGGAGAGCAAAGAAGAAAAATCACACAATTTCTTTGGCTTTCTGTGACATAGCGAAGGCCTATGACTCTGTAAATCGTGAGCTTATGTATCTTAAGCTTGATTCTCTAGGGTTTGGTGGACGAGTCAAGGGCTTGATCCAATCCATGTACTTTAATGATAGTGTTAGGGTAAGATTGGGTGGAGGTTTATCTAGCCCATTGTGGTTTACCCGGGGAGTTAAACAGGGTTGTGTTCTCTCTCCCCTGCTCTTCTCCTTGTACATTTCAGGTCTTGGTAAGGTCCTGCATTCTATGAAAGAGGGGGTTAATTTCAACGGAGTATATATCACCGCCCTTTTTTTTGCTGATGACCTTGTACTCATATCTCGTACTAAGCGTAGAGGAATGGATCGTCTCCTAAAAGCTGTCCATAAGTTTTGTACTGATATGGATATGAAGTTGGCAGTGGAGAAAACAGTAATACTAGCGTATGGAACAAACCAGAACCATGGAAAGTCACTGAAGGAGAACCGGATATTGAACAGGCCTTGGTGGCAAAATATCTCGGGATTGAAATTAGTTTACAGGGTCAAAATCTAATCAAACCTCGCGAGTCCAAAATGATAGGGGGAGCACGCACTTACGCTCACACTATCATGGGCTGCACTCGGTCAGGCTTAGATAGAGCCCTGACTGCCTACAGGCTATGGGAATCCTGTGCAATCCCAGGATTCTTGTATGGGACAGAAGCAATGGTCATTTCCAAAACAACAGTTAAGGAACTGGAGAAAATCCAGCACTCAGTTGCCTCGTTCATTCTGCAGCTTCCCCAGTCGTCTTCCCAGGTAATGGGATGGATGGAGGCAGGTTTGCAGCCAATCCAGCAGCGCTTGGATACAAAATCCGTGCTCTTTGCTCACTCTCTCATAGCAGGGAAGAAAGATCCGATTACCAAGGCAGTAGTAGATGCCACTCTAGCTGATCTGACAGACCCTTGGACTAAAAGAGTGCAAGCCATCCTAGAAGAGGCTGGAATACATGATCTAGTCAACATATCGAAGAGAATGCTTAAGAGACGGATGCGAGAGCACCATGTTTCACAGCTCCGACAGGCGAAATCGGACCATTCATCGTTGCGATGGCTGACTGAGCCAAAAGACTGGTTCAAACTGCAGGTTCACATAAATGACTCAAAGCAGTGTGCAGTTTTGAACCAGATAAGAGCAGGTGATGCAGGTCTGGGAAATTGACGTCCCAATCACATGGGCCTTACGTACAAGGAATGTCCATGGTGCTCAGCAATTGGTATCAGAGTACTGCTGAATGAGCTGCATGTCATCCTTGATTGTCCAGGATCAGGACATGCAAGGCGGGCAACAGGAATTGGTGTTTTTCTGAAGGCCCATCAAAAAAGACAGAACACATTTTGGAAATGGCAAGAATGGGCTATAATTTTATGAATTGTGATTATCGTAATTCATGCACATTAATTGTTGAACTATAAATTGTAAGGCGTCTGATAATCTGATTATAACTGTAAATTAATTCCGGGTCTTTCTGATTAAAACTGTACTCTCATCCATGTATACGGCTCAGCTACAAGTTACTACTATTAATTAGTAATTAGTAATTATAATATTAATTGATAGATTTAATTTTCATAATAATATATAAAGATTGTCCCAAAATAACCAGATGAAAAGACGACATTAAGTTGAGTCAGCTGTTTTGCGTAGCAGGTAGTTTCGAATGTTTACTCACACAAGGCCACTTCACAGTGCACAGTTCTTCTCTATATAGTTTTCAAGTGAACAATTATTCAGTGTTATTAGGAAAGTAAGTAAAAGTTTGATTATATTTAAGGCAATTATAAACATGTTTTAAATTCAATTATGGAAAGTGCTTTAAAGTTGTTAAATGAGCAAATTCATTCATATCATAACAAAGAAAGCAGAATAGGAATAAAGTTGAAATTTAGGACATTTGGGTCTGGATAGTTTCCTAGGGAACAATTTTTGGATCCCCTGAGGCCCCCCCCCCCCCCCCCCC